TCGGGGAATCTTTCTCCGGGCATTGCTTGATGGAGCCTTGATTCTCTCCGGAGATCATGCAGGAAATAGTAGTAATAATAATTAGTAATGCCTACTATTGATGTGTTACAATCCATCCGGCTCGTAATACTCCCGATGGTTATTCCGATATAGTTTTTATTTGTAATGAATATAAAAAGATTATGACAATAATACTCTTCCATGATGTGAGAAATGTGGTAGATTAAAAAGGAATAGAAACCGATGCTTTGTGGTCGCTTAAAAGCTAAATCAACCAAACCACTCTCTGATGAGGTATTTTCACAAGCTTTCAATTCTCGTTTGGAAAGAAAACCAGGGAGATAGAAAATGAGCTATTAACTTCTAGAAATTGAAAGGAAGTAGTAGTAGCCAAGTTTCAAGAGAAATCCGAAGAATGAAACAACAGACAAAAGCAAAAGTTATTAGACAAATTAAGAGACAAGAAGCCGAGATTGAATGTTTAAAAAACTGATCCTCAAGAACTGGTTAATGAAATAGAAAGAAATTGCTTGATTAAAATCTCGATTCGAAAAATTAAATTCTCAGCAGAGTGCTCAAATTGAAGCTAAAAAGTGAAAATAAGGAAGTAATTAAAAAAATTGTCTGATTTTGTTGCATATCATCAACAATCATTTGTCAATCGCTTTGTTGAGGGATCATCACATGATGCTTGTTTTATTTAATTTAGAGTGGGGAAGTCTTAATTAACATTAATTGTAGTGGTATTAAGTTTTGCACCTTGAAAATTTTGATTCTTACTTTGTTATATTATGTTACTTTCAACATATAAAAAACACGCTTTACTGAGATGAGAACCGGGTTTTTTCACCAGGTCTTTTCATAAAGCATTTTGTGGCGTATTTGTACATAGTATTTGGAAAGTAGCTTGATGGCAGCAACTTCCAATCAAACCATGAAGAGATTCGATTGTCAAGTCATTACTTCATTGTAAGACAATACACAGATTGACGGCCAATTTCCAGACTGTTCACAATTGTACAGAATGCAATAGCGTATAGGTGGTATCCCGCCAACTGGATCGTTTCAACAGTAGCCAACACACGTCACTTCAATTGACTAATCAGGGAATAAGTAAGAATCCAAAGAAAAACCTAGTTACAGCCCGCACGAACCGACTCTCGAACTTAGCTAGAGACTGGTTAACTTGCTAGCTCATTTACTCAATCTTGCTACCCTCTCAGTTGTTTTTCCCTCCTTTGTTATGATAATTATTGTAAGGAAATCTTATAGACTTTAATTCTTACTGTACTTTGCTCGATTAAAGGTTCCATTCTAGTATTCTTCGCTATACACTTCACACTCTTTCAAAAACACTTAACCCTACTCGTTACTTTAGCAACTACACCCTATCAACCTGTCACATAGAACGTATAAAGAACAGCATTTTACGGTAGCGTCGAGAGCATGAGAGAATTAATACTAGTACGCAAACTCGAAGAAGAAAATGCAAAGAGAAAACAAACCGGCGACACAATAAAAGATACCTCGGTTTCTGGAAGCCTGTCTTCAGAAAGGCATAGTAACGAACCTACAAAAGAAGACCTTTACAGTCACAAGGATATAACAAACTCAAGTAGTCCCACAACGGATGCAAACAACCAAAATCCTCCATCCTCTAACGAAAGCCAAGAGATACCAGCACCCGAAATAGAAAATTTTGTCAATAATAAAGAGCACCTTTCTGATACTCTGTCACAACTTGAAGAGAATGTCTATACAGAGAATACCAACTTGGATGAAAATCAAATTGTAAATTCTATGGAAAATACACATACGGCATTAGATTCATCTATAAACAATTTCCCAGAAATATCAGAGGAAGAAAGAAGGCAACAGGAAGAATCTGCATTGGAACTGAAGACAAGACGCGAGAGTTTGAAAGAGTTTTTCAGGCAGCAACAGCCTTACGTAAGAGATACTACAGATACCATTCCTATTTCAACAGGGACTGTATCATTAGATGCAGATAAGGCTATTGGAAGGTAAGTTAAATCCTTCATTAACACATGAACTGCGGCCTTCTCTGTTTCGTAGAGGGGTACAATTTGGAAAAGGTTAGACCATCCGATATTTACTTTACCTCATCATATACCTCAGTCAAGAAACAACGGGAAAACTTCCACAGTTAAAGGAGGAAAATACGATAAATGGTGCCTCGGACGAAGCAGAATCCGTTGCAAAACTACCCACTGCTGAAGATGAACCGAAAACGACGAGTATGGAGAATAAAAATTTATCTGTTCCACCCTTAGTTGAACTAAGTCCTGATGAAAAACGGCAGAAAGCTGCTGCTTCTCGAGCTATGCAGAAGAAAAATCTCAGAGAAATGATGAAACAGAAGCGACGCCAAGTCAATGCTGAACAAAAGGAAGAGAGTGACGGCAATGTAATCATTATAACACCAGATACGAAAAGTAATACTGAAACCGATCCACAAGCTACAGGGGATGTTCAAGCCAACGCTGGCGTTACGGATCCGGATTCAGACGGATCAGTTGACTTGGACGCACTAATTGCACAGGGCAGCGATTTGGATTCAAGCAATATTAATTTGGAGATTGATGGTGTGAATGATGACGATGATGACTTTTGGAAAGTTGATTCTTCGGAGGTAATGTTGTCTCTTGTTTTGAGCATTTGAAAAAAAGATTATATATATTAATAGCCCTGGCTATCGTAACAGCTAGAGAAACGCTTGACACCATCCACCTCTCCGTTACGTCAGCTGTCTCCTGATCCACGAAATTTGCCATCTATGGCTGAAGTTATTGAAGAAGAAGAGGATTTGAGCGATACCATTCTTGCAGTTGACGACCAAGAAGTCGATGATCTTTGGGGCTCATCAGCGAATACACATAATTATGAAGTAAGTTCATCAAATGTCTCGAGATTGATATCAATGGACTAGAAATTCACATGATTAAACGGATACTTTTATTTGATTTAAAGTTGGAGTCAAAAGAGGAGGACGAATTTGACAGATCTTTGGACACACAAATAACACCGGTACTAAAACCCATATCGTCTCCGTCGCCGTCTCCTTCTCCTCGTCCGTCTTTAAGTGGTGGTAAATCAGGGATTCCTACAGGACTACCGAGACCCGGTTTCGCACCACATTTTCCTCTATCACCTAATTCATCGAGAGCTTCGTCGAATGCTGATCCTGATGAATTCGAAACACAGTCAAACGGTTCTCATACGTCCGTTAGATCAAACAGTAGCTCAAAGTCTGGAGCGTCAAGTATCCGCAGACCCTCAACAACGATGGGTATTCGTGCTCCTAGTAGAATTAGTTCTCACGGTGCTATTTCACCCTCAAGAATAGGTTCACCAAATTATTCTGGCATAGCGACGCCGAGTCGATCTCGTTCAATGAGTATAGTGAGTAACAGTTCAGCCGAAGAGAGCACTACCTCCTCAGCTGGTGGGGCACATTCACCAATACGAATTGCCTCACCGACACGCGGACTCAGAACACATCAAGGTATCACATCAGGCATACCAACCGGTGCACGTCCAAGATCACGAAGCAAAGTCAGTACGAGTTCGACCGATGAAGGGTTGACTAGAAGTAGCACGCAAATTAGAACGACGAAAACATCCAATATAATTTCACCTAACAAGAAGATCAAAAATGGCGTCCCTGAGGCAACGAATAGTAAAATAGCGAGTTCTAAAGTACCATCCACAAGAATTACCTCACCAACGCGTGGACTCCGATCACCACAAGCTATCACATCGGGTATACCGACTGGTACCCGTCCAAGGACGCAAAGCAGAATTGGTACAAGTTCGACTAGCGAAGGGTTGACTAGATCTGCTAGTGTAGCAGGAACTCCTACACGCTCATTGAATAGAAGTAGCACACAAATCGGGACCACAAAAACTTCTAGTACCGTTTCACCGGCTAAGAAGACTAAAAGCGGTACTAGTACAGTCAAATCTCGATATGTAAAGTCTTAATACAGCGAATTTGGTACTATAGTCAAGAATTCCTTTGATAAAAAAATAGTATTATTAAATTTTTCCTTGATATAATGAAATTATGTAGTAAAGTCTCGTTATTAGATATAGTAAGTTTTTTTCTCAAACAATACTGGTAGATTACATCTCGATTCAGTGAATATTGTACCAGTTGATGGATTTTGACCAATCATAATACAAACACGTGTTGAATAAAAGAGAATCTACAGAGAGAGAGAAAGAGAGAAAGAGAAAGAGAGAAAGAGAGAAGAGGTTTGTCTAGTGTCCAGAAATGTCGTTTAAAAGATCGAGTTGTTAATCAGTATTCAACAACTTGACCCAAATAATAAGTGCGGTGGTTTAGTCAGTGTTACAACACTTTTTTGTTTCCTTTGGGTTTTAATACATTATGAAACCTTGACCGGATCAAAAGGTTACCGCATAATTGAACGGTATGACACTTGCTACGTTAAACGACTTAGTACCAGTATATGTTATATAATCGTTCAGCAGTATTAGATTCGTCAGTAGAAATAACGTCGAGTTGTTACAAGCCGCGACAGAATGAACATTTATGCCCTTATATATGAACTTTATTGATAATTTTCGACATAGAAATCCCCGTCCCGTCGAATTTACGATATCAAAGTTTGACTGTGTAATGATTAGTAAAATAGCAAGTGTTAAAGTTACATCTTCAACACGTACATCAACAAAGTCTTTGCACACGAGATGACACTTGTATAATACCGTAATAGCAACGGGAGACTAGTGCGGTGATATTAACAAAATTGTTTTATTAGTCAATTTCGTAAATTCTAAATTTTAGTGACTCTGCAGAGAGAAATCAAGTTCATTGTCTGCCAGCTCGAATAGTTAAACGGAATAAATTTGAGATATCTTACACACCAATTTTGTTTAGAATTGGCAACGGTCAGCGTTGATTTTTGATAATCAAGTCTCGGCTTGTTATTAGTATTGGACAATACAAATGCATAGTTAATAGTTAGTCATTAACTAAAGTTGCATAACATTCCCAACATAGGCCGGGCAATCTATATTGGGCAGATCGCTGATTCTAATAATGTCGCTTGTCGTTCCAACGTTAACTGAAAGATGAATTGGACTAAACTACCACTTTTCTTTTGTTCGAAAAGTCATATTGGTAGGTCTGGCGAGTCGTTTTGGCCAGCCAAATCTGTATTAATATTAATAATACATCCTTTTTAAATGCTTATAACACCGACACGCAGCTAGAAAAAGAACCACTATGACACGAAGTATGACAGGACCCTGGTATTCTGATGACGTCATAATTCCTTATTAGTTAAATTGCATCCCCCCCCCCCAAAAAATAATATTAATAACACACTTGTTAAAAAGTCGGGGAACGAAAAGCCAATACGTCGTATTCTGACCCTCCGTCACTCTCCTTGTCAACCCGACAGTAGTTCTGTGTCCTCCTAAGTTCCTCCCACAGTACTATTTGCATGATGTTACGAGCAACTGTCTCGTCGCTTGGAAGGAAGACACCGTTTACAGTTCGACCGACAAAGTGTTGTTGCTGCTTTCCTCTTCGCTGTGGAGTTATGACCATTAGTATACTGTTGGTGGTAAGACACATTACGTGCGATGAATAGGTATTACTAAAGAAAGAATAGAAGGAAAAACATGTGCATATTGGTTATAATCTGATATACTTTGATCATTAAACGATGCGTTAGAATAGGTGCTTGCAGGATGGTCTTCTATTACACTGCTTACTAGGTCCCCGGGTGAGTCGGTTTATGACAACTGGTTATTATACGTTTTCAATTGCTTGAGATGGCGATTATATGCTAAGTGACATTCTCTGCTTACAGTATATGTTTCCCACGCATCGTACGGTGTTATGATATTGTATGGACTGCTATATGCACTCGCGGTCCCGGTTGGTGTATTTGGTGTTTATGCAGCGTACAAGGCAAGTTGTTATAATTAGATATGAAGAATCGAGTCAATTGAAAAAATCTGAATTTTTTTTCTATACAAATCAAAAAAACACTTAGAATGATCTAGAACATATCAACTGGTTTTCATGGTCATTCTGGATATCCACAATTGCTCTTCTCATTCTCCAATTTGTCAATTTCATTCTCTCTGTCGCGTGGCAAAGAAGCACGGCGGTCGAGTGTACTCATGAACTTAATTATCTGATTGTGGGGAATTCGAGTTCGACTTTGGTCCCGTTAAATCAGAGCTCTGTGGATCCACAGGTTCTTTATGATGCATGTAAACAGGCTTCTTCACTGTATATATGTTGGACTCTAATAGAGTTGGTTATAGTGCAGTTTATGCTATTTGTAAGTGGGGGAAGTGTAGGGAAAGAATGTCTTGTTTTGGTATTTTCAACTTGGTAATTGTTTTTAAATTTACGTTAGGTCTACTTTGGACTCGTTGTTAATGCATATAAACGGGATTTACGGAAAGAAGGAAAAGTTATCTCTGATGAACATGACGCCGATGGGAGGGATGTGCGCAGTAACAACAAAGAGAACATTGAACGTGAAAAAGTTGGTCTTGAAGCACCCGCCGAAGGAGAATAAACAGTTCGCTGCGAATACGGCAGATTCATTGATTCCTGACAAGTCGGATTTTGTTCACCCCGACAATCTCTAATCCATCTGAAAAGCCCAGAATGTAGCTAATAGGCTACTTGCAATGGATGTATTTATATTGTATCTGTAGCTCTTGCATTGTAAAAATAAATCAGCTATTATATCGTATTGCTTTCACATCTGGTTAACTCTAAACTCGGAATTACGAGTAAAATGTGTGGTATGACTCACTACATGTTTTACATTACGGACGTAACGGACATTGTGAAAAGATATTGCCAGAAATGTCATAGATAAAGTTAATTGTCATGTTGGACTGCGTGATGATTTTTTTGGCATTTCTAGCATTTAGTAAGCAGAATTTGCATTTGACCGCGGCTTTGGGACTATAACACGTATATCAATTTGCTGTATTTCCTGCTTCCACGTACTAAGAGTTATTTGGGCTGGATGACGTTTTTTCGACGATGATAATCAAAATAGAGTTTTTTAAGGAAAAGAATAGAGAGGAGCATGAGATTAATGCACAAGTTTGCATGTGACCATGAACACGATAATCATCGGACCATAAAGATTAGCTACATTTATTATGCTTAAATTATAAATAAATAGCATATTCTCTATCGTCGTATTTGCCTATATTATTGTATAACATTATTTAGATAATGCATAAATAATGTATGTATTATTAATCTGAAACGACGGTGAAGCCCATGGCTATCTATCAACACCATTAATCGAAATTTTTTTACTGTTGCATTTTTGCCAAGAGAAAAAGTGAGAGCATTACTAAAGGAAACACAAGCTGTAAAGGGCAACTTTTTCCATCGTGTAAAGTTTTTTTGAACACGAACAAATTTCTTACATATTCATCGACAAGTTTTTCCGGTAAAATTGAAATGAGAATGTAGAAGCTTGTATTCTAATTGCTGAACAGAAACGCACTTTATTCAAATGTTTACTTGTTTCATGATTAATTAATTTTGACACAACTTCTCGAAAAGTCTGTCAAAGAGTTACAAACGTTGTTTGTTCAATAAATGCAGATATTGATTTTTAATAAAGGTTTTAATTCGAAAAGGTTAAAGGTACGCCTGTCGAGAACAAGAATACCGTTAGTATGTAAATAACTAATAGATGTGTCATTGATGAATAATTGCTTCAATGACTTTTTAAAAAAGTTGCTTTCGATGTTTATTCCGTTGGTCGACAAATATATGTTCTGATCGTAGTAAGCATGTTCTATTTCGTAATACAATGTTGCTTATTAGTAATAGTATTAGACAATGTGCTCATTTCGAATCGGCTAAATTTCGTTACGTTATGTCCGATTATCCGTAATAGAATACAGCTCAAATGAGAATGGTGTGGATTCGTTGTTCACATTAACAATAATTGCCATTCCAATCCCGATATGTTTCCAGCAATATTTTCTGCTATGGGCTTTGAGATAAAAGAAACGTATTTTCGTACAAGGTAAAGATGCAGACTGTTTAATTAGTTAAACTTTGGTTACACTTTGTTCTGAAACATGGCTCCATTATTCAGCTATCAATAATGCGGATGCACTGACAGATTACATGTAGAATAGTAACAGACATAATGAGAAGTATTTTTAATGGTGTATTGTCATTATTGTATAAATTTTCTTTCGTTTCGGTTTTTATTATTCCTTGTTCTGATTGAATAGTTTAATTTCATATTCGATTGATCATGTATCAATGTTTACATCATTGTATTTAGAGTGTCTGATTGTTACACAACAAATGGTCAATCAACAACAACTTCATCGCTCGCTAGTTAGACAGACTGTTTGTTATCGTGGGTTATTACTATTCTAAGAACACTCTTTGTATGTTCAGCTGCAGAAAAGCTCAATGTACTAGCACGGCTATAAAGAAACAGTTTGGAAACCATTGTTCTTCATAACAACATCCACCCTTATTGTGTGTAACAAAGTCTAACTCGAGATGTCCACGTTGTAAATTTTGATCACTAATTAAACTCTTTTCACCCCTTGCATCCAGGAATTTATTAAGTAATCAATAGGATTAGGGCGAGGGAAAACAAAACAAACGAACTGTTTAATATTAACGACAATAGGCATCAATGTAAATAGGAACAAGTCTTGTTTCGGTAGAGACACATACACACACTTATTAAAATTGGAACAAGAGGAGCAACGATACATATGCACACCATATATTATACACAAATAAATAATATAAATAAATACATTACATATTGTCTTGTCCTATTATATTCACTCGTCATTAGTCGGATGCAGAATTACTTGTATTCCGTGTACTGTTACATATGGTTCAAGTGCCATCAGTTCACCTATCAAATATGCTCGTCACCTGTGAACCCCACAAACTTCTCTCTACAAAGACTTTTCGCAATACTAGCTAAGCAGACTGACTTTCCATTACCAACGGACGCTATCTTTGTCCTTGAAATATCTTCAAGGTAACTTCGTACTCTTTTTCTGTAATAGCATATATGTCTAACTCTTGTCCTTCTTTTGCTCTCTACTAACAACATCATTCTTCTTCGCCTTCATCTTTCCCCCAAAAACACTCATTTACCATGGATTTAATCGTTCTGCTCTTCTGTGCGTTTATACTGGTTAGTGCGACATATTTAATTTGCATAAATAAATATTTACATATTATATGTGCATAGTATTAGTATACATATTACAGAACTTTATTCCATTTTATCCTATTTTTTTTTACCTCCTCAACTCGCTCCAACTATAAACACCTCATCTTTATATTCTTCATTACACCAGGGAATGGTCGTATGGCAACCAAACAACAGTATGCTCACTGAAGACCCTTCAACCACTACTAATACTGTCGATATGGAGGATGAAAATACTCTCAAAGACTCAAATTCCGAATCACTTAATACAAACCTTTTCAAAACAACCGCTGCAGAACGAAAGAAAACTGCTGAAAAATTATTCGGGAATAGCAGTACCGACAGTTCACTTGCTGTCGAAGAAGACTCACTAGATTGTAACATAAACACACTCGATACAATTACCGATAAAGCAAAAGCAGATATAAAAGATATTACTAATAATAATTCGACTGCTGTCGTTTCCGCCGAAACAGTAGGTACCCAACATCTCACAGATACCGTCTCAAAAGATTCACAAGCATCTTTAATAGAAATCCATATCCCTGAAGAACATCGTTTGTCGAAAGAATCCCGATTTTCAAAAGAATCAGGAATGGTTTCGAGTGCAAGCTCTATAAACGATGGCGACAACGAGACTGATGCTCAACAACCATCTAGCTTGTCTCAACTGTCTGCTACCAGCAATGACCAATACGCTCGAACATTCTCTGATAACTCCAACAACCACTTGGGCATGATCACCGAAGAAGAAGAAACAAAATCAGTACTTTCTAATCATTCCCGAAATGTATCAAACAACGCTCTAGAAAGCATAGACAATGATAGCGAAAAACAAAATATTACTGCAAATGTCCGAGAAGAACCCTTTCTAGCTTCAGACCAAGCAGATACAGAGACGAGACTCAGCAGTTCATCACAAACTGCTTCTTTTTCTGATGTATCTGAAACTCCTTCATCTTCCAACCAAACCCCCGTGGAAGCAAAAAGAAGAAGTAGCTCGAAGCGCAAAAACTCGTCACGTTCAATACTTTCCGTCTTGTCTCCATCGATTAGATCATCGTCTTCATCGTCGTCAACCAGAGGTTCTAGCAGAGGTTCAGTTTCTGACTCAGAGGGCGATCCTGTTCCACGTAAACAACAGCAACATTCCGTATTGTCTAAAGCAGACAGAATACTAGGAAGGTCACCATTTGGCTCAATATCGGGCAGGAGGCGAACTTCGAGAATGATAAAAAATGCTAGCGAGAGCGAGGTAACTCCACCCGGATCACCTAATTCCCCCGAGAAGCTGTCCAAAATAGGCAAAATACTTGGACTAACTCCATCAGAGGAAAAGCTGCTGCTAGAAAAACCAGATGCAGCAAGCCGAATATTCCAATTGTCATCCTCATCCTCGTCGTCTCTAGACGAAACATCCGCAAACCCTAGAAAAAGCGAAACTGATAACCGCCCTGTCAATAATACAAGTAATAAAACAATTAAAGTGCTTGGTCCACCGGTCGACAATGGAATGCCTATAATAGACGAGAAAAGCAAAGCTGGGAGAATTTTAGGATTAGAAGAGAAGGTTCAAAAACGAAGAGGAACCTCAATGTATGTCAGTAAAGTCAGCGACAGAGTTTCCGGTCTGGTAGTTCACTCTCGTGCTGGCATTAGTAGTCCAATCACAGTTGCCACCGTAAATAAGAATATTGCTTTGACCGGCACGCTAACTAAATATCAGCATGCCAAGTTTGGGAAAAACTGGAAGCGAAGATTTTTCATTCTCGCCAAGACAACTTTGTACTGTTTCAAGGATAGCGAAAGATCATCACTAATGACAGACAGTTTTGAAATAACGGCTGAAACAATTGTCTGCGTAACTGATACATTTAGTGGTAAACCATGGATGTTACAAGTAAACAAAGAAGGAATTAAACCGTGGTATCTTCAAGCGGACAATGTAGAAGATATGAAATTATGGTTAGCAGAACTGAAAGCGACAGTTGTTAAATGTAAATATAGCGTAACACAACTTCCAGATGTGCCAAAATATAAAACTATAGACGAGCCTGTTAACAATGCATATAATACCATCGTCCCTCCGCCTCGCCGGACTAGACAAACACCAACTACAGCATCATTTCCACAAGGTACAACGTCGACAGTTTCGTCGTCGTACGTTCAGCAATCGCTACCTCCTCCTCCACGCCCAGCTCCATCGGTGCCAGCAAACATAACGTCGCTTCCACCACCGCCTCGTTCCAAGTCTGCCCCAACAACACCATGTCCACCATCACCTACATCTTCGTTACCACCCTCAAGACCATTATCTCCGCAGCATGATCTCGATGTTGCCGAACTGGCAGGGGCTAATATAGGCGTCCCTGCACGGCCATCTTCACCCGTGCATACACTTTCCCCTCCAAAGACAAGGACTGTTAAAATCATGGTGCCTGCAAATCATAATGATATACCACAAGATGATGTCGATTCAGCGATCACAACGCCAACAAGTGGTTTTAATCCTGCCAACGAGATAATTGAGCGGAATATTGATGAGGACGAAGACGAGGAACTAGTAGAAGAAGAAGAGGTGGAGGAGGAGGAAAATAGGACTCAATCTAGTTTAATTGATTTACCATATAATAACACACAAAACACGGACAAGTCGCTGAAATCAGGGGGAAGGATATCAACGTATTCGCTGAGTAATCCACCCGTAATGCCCTCGAGGCCATTGCGGACTATGACTCCGCCAGTTGGGTTACCTTCTCTAAATTACAACTCAAATAGAACTGTAACTAAAACTACGACGCAATCGCCAAAACAAACAAATCAGGCAACGAAACCGAAATCAACAGTTTCATCACTATCTTATTCGTCACCCGTTACAGATTCATATACATCACTTCCTCCACCACCTCGTTCGCCACCGCCCCCTAGGACGGCAACGCGTTCTCCTATCCAGTCAACTCCGCAGCCTCCGCGAGCTTCACGATCATCAAATCCGCCCCGTTCTGCGCCAGTGGTGTACGCTTTTAACCAGCAATATTATAACGTTCAGCAGCAACAAATTTATCATTCTACCCCGCCTTCGACGCCACCGAGGTCTCCAGTAGCCGTTTCACCACCAAGATCTACAGTTAATGTATCGCATGTTGCCACGAAACGTCGTGTTCCTCCCAACCTTTCTCTATCAAATTCAGCTAATCCGTCTCCTCCATCCCCTCGTTCTCCTCATTCAACTCACTCTGCTCCATCATCGCCTTATTATTATACAACTCGTTCGCGCAAAGCCACAGATTCGCCCCCATTATATAAGACTAGTCCTTCAACGCCACCACCACGAATAATGACACACATTCCGACTAGTCTTTCGTCTGCTCTTGCACCCACAGTTCCACATCCCCCGGGCCCACCGCGGTTCTCCAAACCAACGTCATCCCAATCGCGATCTATGCAGTCGTCCAAGAAATCGCAATATCAGTCTATCCCGATTATATTGCCATCCTCGGCAATAACTTCAATCCCTCCTCCACCGCGTACTCGACCACCTAATATACCCCTACCTTCTATACCAACGAACGTCAAGCCGAGGAATATGAATGGCAAGAATACCGGGGGTGTAGAACCAGCGGTTGAATTTTCAGACGACGATGAATTAGATCCTGATTACCGTGACGAAGTGAATGCTGCCTGGAAAAAGTCGCAGTTGGTAAAATCTTTGGAAGAGAAGCATAGCAAGCGGCATAGAAATGCAGCGAGAGTGAGTAAACGTCATCGGGATATAAACAACGGCACTGATGATACTCATCGAGTAGATTCTGATATTGAATCTAATGAGAGTGATGTTAATACAAATCAAGCAAGCGCATTAAATTATAATGTCCGAAGAATTCTACATGTCAATGAGCGTATGAGTAGTGGGGATTTTGAACTTGTTGCCAGTCTTCAGGAATTGGATAAAGTTCACCCTGCGCATAATGGTTCTGACGATGGTTCTGGCGATGATGACGGCTATGCGGTACAGAGCGTGGATGAGGATAAAATGGATGAAGTGGACAGCATGGACATTTATTTAAATGGCGTAGTGGACGTTAAAACAAAAATTGGTGGATATGAGAGTGATGGAAGTTTAATTGACCCGATGGATTCTGTAGATGATAGTACTCGATGGGCATCTCAAATATTTTGATTATTTTATGTAGAATTATATTCACACACATCGCAATCTCTTGTATAGATCACATTATTATTTTGTTTATATATTTGTAAGCATATTTTCTTTTTTTCTTCAAGCATGTTTAACGCTGTATCATCATCATTATTTGTATTTGGATTATAGGTTCGAGTGGATTATTAGCATAAGATGATCTAAAAAAGAGTGTATTTTAAACTTAGTTTTGTTTTATTGTATAATCAGTAAATTCTGGTTCAATTATTCCTCGTAATATTCATAATTGATAAATTGGCTGAATATCATGTTGGTTGGTATCTTAATTTAAATTTTACGGGTCGAGTTTGTATCTGTCTGAAATGTCTCACGCTTCCAAAAAGCGATTATTCTAAATTAGCGTTAGCCCAACTCATTTCGTAATTCGGAATTACTGTATTAGTTTAGTATGCAAGTAAGATCAATGCTTTTTTTTACACCCAACAATTTTATCGCACTAATCTTTTGATCTTTCCAATTAAGGTAACATGTTAATATTATTGGCTTCCTGCTGAGCCAGGTCGCTAAGTATAAGGCTGTTCTCGTTGTATTTTTATGATATCTTAATCTGTTCAGGTTAAGATTTGGGCCCCTATTTCCTTAGACTGTAACTAACATTGGTTTACTGTATTCATCACCGAACTACTCGCAAACGTCATCTTTGGATAATGGCATTCCGTAAAAATAATTAATCATTAATTATAATTACTGCATTAATCTCAATATGTAAAACTTTTATATATCATAGTCTGAGCTAACTAACATCTTCCTAATTGCCACCGACCACATTCGACAATTTGGCTTTAATAAAACGACTTATTAAACTGTAAGGTGATAGTAAGGCTTGGCATGCGTTCTTTAGGCTTAGAATGAGGCATTGCTCGGCAATACCCTTCACACGTTTTTACGGAATTGACCAATTACAATATGTCGCCACGGAGATTAGACTGTACCACTGCATCTTTTTCAACATTTTGTTTTTTCATTATCTGCCAAAACTGTATATTAAATTGCACTATCATAATATTGGCAAGTGCCTATTATTCTTTGTCGATCAAATCTAACTTCTTTCGGCCGCAAGTCTGACAATCATTTGTCAATCAATGCATGTCGTCTTCTTATTGCAGTGACAATAATGGACGTCTTGGGTCATATTTTTGACCGTCTAATCATCAAACGTTATAAAAGTCATTCATGTATCATTTCGACTTTTTTTAGTCCGAGTACAGGGTGCACTCGCTGTGTTACTTGCTCGGTCATTTACCTGTGGATCAGTTTTACATAAATCGCTTAGCATGCTCAGAGTATTTTTGCCCAAATCGGTGCATGGCATTGAGGCACAGTTTGATTAATTGAAATATTTAAAGAGCCTCTTTCCCCCGGATCAATGCACACAGCAATCTCATCCCTTCTTCTTTTTGGAAATATGAAATCCTTCATTTTCTCTTCAGTCGCCCTTCTGGTTTGCTTAACTCCCGCCACCTATTCTTGGGGTAGCGAAGGTCACCGTACAGTGGGACGTATAGCGCAAAACTTTCTCACTAGTGATGTAAGCAATCAAGTGGCTACTTTACTTGGCCCCTCCGATACGTTGGAATCTGTGTCTACGTGGGCTGACATAATTAAAAGGGACCCTATGTGGACTTGGTCCGCGAGACTTCACTTCATTGACACTCAAGATGATCCGACGGCTGTTTGCAATGTTGATGAGGTAAGCATAATTTGGTTTTTAGAAGACGTATATCAATTACCGTGTGGACTTACTTTTGCAATATGTCTTTTGTAGCAACGTGATTGCCCAGACGGAAATTGCGTTGTTGGAGGCAAGTAACATATACACTAGAAATTGATATTTATATTTGACCATCAGGTTTACGTTTTTCTTTGGACTAATGTCTATTCTTTCATTTGTTACAGCCATTGCCAATTACACAACTCAATTAGACAGTTCAAATGGTTTTAGCTCCCAAGAAAGGAATATTGCACTCAAGTTTCTCACTCATTTCTTTGGAGACATAACGCAACGTATGTAGTACTTGAAATAAAAAGAGCGATAATGTTGGTTGGTAGCACCGTTACTCACAGACTTGTATTTAATATCAGCGTTACACGTATGCGGAAAAGAACTAGGAGGAAACCAGGTACATATTTTGTGTGAACGATATTCCGCCTTTTTATCGTGGCGATTGAAAATATATTAATATTTCTGGCTATATTTACAACGACAGCATCTTGTCACATTCGATGGACGTAGCACAAACCTTCATGCCATCTGGGACACTGATATGGTAAGTAATATTTATATGCTTGCTACTTGTCTTCAAATTGGTTTTGCAACTACAGACATGCTTGCAATTAATCAAGTGGTTAATGCTTACCACCTCCAGTTGGTGGCAATGACAAGATTGAACTCAAACACTTGTTTTTCCTCTCCTTACTCCCCAGATCCGCAAACGACTGACTGATTTCTCGAGTTCTCCTGATAACGCTGTTGAAGCATATGCTGCAAACCTAACTGACACAATCAATTCTGGCAATTACAAAGACATTTCATCTGGCTGGGTCTCATGCATAGGGGCGTCCCAAGATGCTAAACAATGTCCGTTACAGTGGGCAACGGATAGCGACGCTCTAAATTGCCAGGTCGTGTGGGGTTACGTTCTTGCTAATCCAGATGTGGACTTAGACGGTGAATATTATAACTCGGTTGTTCCCTCCATCGATTTGCAGCTTGCTAAAGCAGGGTATAGATTGGGAACGTTTTTGAACCAATTGCTCGGTAAAGGTGGAGCTAAATTTTTGCTGGCGTAGAACCTATCATTTTTGTGCATATTATTTATTCAATTCATTTGTTCATTATTATGCATTTGTTATTTGTTTTATCATTTCAGAATTTAATACAAATAAAAGTTGTCTTCCTAAAAGATTTTCATATCAAAGTAATTATTTTTTAAATGCATCGATCAAGTATACATATGATGTTGGGAGCGGAATGGGAGTAATTAAACTGGCTTTTCAGGAGTAATTAAAAGTTTTCAGATAAGCCGGTACACGTGATATCTGTTATACACAGTCACTCTCGATAAGATGAAGCCGTCGGGCTGGACCAAAAGGGTCATATTATCGAAAGTTCATTATAACGA